TGTTTTTGCATTTTGCAAGTGTACCGATGCACTTGCGAAAAAAATCGTCATAAGATGCCTAGGGGTAAACAGTGCAAAATTTTCCTCTACGATTATTTTTCTAACTTCATTTGGAACTGAGCTATAGCCTGGCCCAGCTGCTAGAATCCACCTGTATACCTAGGAGATCAGTACCTCAAACGCTGGGGACAGTTAAGCTCATGACAAAGGTTGTATTTGTACAAATAGGAGTAGAAGTAAATAATTACTGTATAAATTTAGCTTTGCTGTTTACACTTTGTTGCTATAAATTTGTAGTATTTAACAACTTATGTTTGTTCATTAATAAATAGGTAACTTTGGCTATATTAATGTTATGTTTATTTTAGAAATAAATAAATGCTTATCACTTTTCTATCAGAATTTTATATTCTGTGATAGATTATCAGATTTTAAGGATTTTTTTAGTATTCTTTAAAATTCCCACAACTAAGCCTCAATCGCAATTTTGTTACTCTTGATTTTTGTTTTATTTTGTCACTTGTTTAACCGGCAATTGAATAACAATGAACCAATGTAATACTTATAAAACATTTGGAAAACTCAACAATAAATTATTTTCGAATTGTTCGGATTGGAATTTGCGAACAAAACAGTGCAACCTTCTTGCAGTCAAGTATTTTATAGTTTGCGTCGCTCCCTTGCTTGGATTAATGACTTAGAAAGAAAGTTGTTATAAAATTAAACATAACAAGAATTACTGCTACTACGGTAAATATTATGATGAATCTTTAATAATCGTAACATTGATCAAAGGCGCCTATTATATCAAATTCAAAATTCACGAAAATTTAGAGAATTAATGAAAATGATAACGGCTCATATTTATAAACCTTTTCCCTAACTAACCAAAATAATTTTTCATTGATTGTTACAAAAATCACATGAAATATAAGTTAGATAAAACAATCATAGCATCATTCTCCCTCATTCTCACTTCCATTAGAAGTGACAAAATGTATTAAGGGAACATCGTAATATATAAAGTTCTTTGAGTACCTATATTTATCCTAGTATCAAAAAAGACAAAGAAGTGCACCTATTTCGAAAAACTTGTGTATCATCTTAGACAACTAATGTCGTTTGAAAACTTCTTTGTATAATTGATTTAAAGTTAGAACACTATCAGATCTCAGCACAGGAAAAGGGGTCAAAGACAAAACAAATTCACCACTCAAAGCTCATTAACAACATTCTGGTTTAGAAGTAGAATTTAGCTTTATCTATTTAACTAATTTTGATTTTATTCTCTAGCTTCGCGATGCATTTGAATGATGTACAAGTTATATTTTAAAACTATGGCGGCAGTACAAGTTAAAGATAAACAAATGTTCCTTCTGTGCACTAACCTTTTTACAAACTTCACTTCAGTATTAGTATTGTGTACCTAATTTCATAGCAATAGCCAAACCACTGTCCTGTCCCATCAGGAAACAGACAACTGAGATTACATCAGCCTACAGAACAAAACTTCATTTCAGCATTCCAGAATTTCATCACTGCACCTACACCAGAAGCAGATATAAAACGATCATAAATCCTCTCAATAAATACTATCAACTATGTATTAGAAAATATTCTCCTATGTGAAAAGCCGGAACATTTAATTAAATGTCAAATGTATACACGATGTTGAAGGTTTGATACCTTTGGTACTAAATTAGGGGGATGCTTCCTAAAGCCATTGTATCTTGAAAATCAAGAGTGACAAAATTGTGTTCGAGATTTCGTTAATTAGTTATTAACCATAGAAAACAGCTCCTAAAGTAGGTAATTTTCAGGTGCCTGTGAGACCAAACAGCCGCGCAACGGCTAGCTGAGTGCCGTACCTAGCGAAGAAATATACGCCTACTTGGTAATAGAAATTGTCACACGGAGTGAAACACTTAGGTGAACATTTTACAATAAAAATCCAATGTGAACCGTGGAACGACATTAAACCTGCCTACTCGTAAAAATTCACAAGGGCATGTTGAAATTCGCCCAATGGGATTTTTGAGTAGAAAGGGTGAATGCTTTTTCAGTTCAAAAATCTTCTTACAAATATCACACATTGCCAATCATGTCACAAATTTTTACGGATTTATTCTTATGAAAAGTTTTGTAGCGGTCCAGTGAAAGTAAACTTTAAACGATCTTAAACAACCTTGAATTTTTGCATTCCATTGTCATCGCGTACATTCAAATATCATACACAGCGTGTTATAAAACCATTCTAGAGTTTCAAAATATTGGTTCCTTAAAGTACTTTCTTAAGAGGCGATAAAGAGGAAATCGACATATATTATCTTCTAAACCTTCACGAGCGTTCTAGCGCTTGCAATTACGACTTGGCTATTATTTTTAACATTCGAGAGTTTCGATATTATTTTTTAAACATTTATCAATTTATTTATCAATAAAATGATTTTAATAAAATATGTTAAGTATCATAAAGTAAAATAATATTAATTATCCTAATAATCTTACCTCAATTGTCGTAAAAACGTTGTAAAATTCTTCAGCTCTACATTGAAACTTCTTTTGCTGTTTAATTGTTGTCGTCGAAATCTTACATCCTAATTCTTTTTTATTATTCATGGATACCATGGTAGCATTCATTTGCATCTATAATAATTCATTAAGAACTCTAAATTATTCTCAAATTGAAGTAAGTACAGGTATGCTCTGAATTACTTTTCTGTACTTACTTTTGCATTGAATCCAGATGTGATATTAGAAATATTTTCTTTTACAATATCTTTTTTTGGCAGAATCATCCCAACTGTGAATTCTAACAACAAAATATAGTCATGTTAATACGAACAAAGTTAACTAAAAATATAACGATAGTACAAAATTCGAAATACAAACTAATTTTCATAATTACGATCTAGTATATATATAATAAAATTGTTATAAGATTTATCGAATATTTAAATACTATTTTAATTTTTGTCAATTTTATATATATATAACAGTCTCCCGCATACAATGTGTTAAGACATTTTTACCTTCTTTTAAAGAAGAAACATATTGTTTCAATTTATCTCTAATAGCATCTTTTCCTTTTGTATGTAGAAAATGTTTTACTACTTCCCCCTCATCTGTACTATCTTTCAAAGTAATTTCAACCTATAAATAATAACACGATTACTCGTTACTTTGAATTTTTATACCTAAACTTTATTAAAAAGTAAACTGGTATAAATTCAAAATGGTTTAATTTATCTTATAAATCTACTATATATAGGGTGATTCACCTAACTTGACGACCTGAAATTGCTCGTGAACTGTTCGCTATTCGAAATAATGTATGAAACAAGAGTTGCCTGATTTCAAGGGGAACATATGTTACAATAATTGTTTTTTTTTTTTTTTTTTTTATACATAAAGTTTTAAAGGTCACCACAATTTTTTTTATGTGGAATACCCTACATTTCTTTCCGGAAATTAAGAGAGTATTAAAAAAACTGAGTAAATAAATATTAAGGTATAATATGTCTAAAATGAGTATTTATTGAGATATTTACGATGGAAGTTCTATTCTATTGAAATCAAAGTTAAGGGTAGAGAAATATACTTCTGCGTGTTTTTGTGTAAATTCGGTTTCGGTCAACAAGGATGTTCATACGTCATGGCATATAACTCTGAATGTTATAAACATTTCAAGTCTTTATTACTGATTTTATGCAGCCAAAAGATGAATAAAAATATTTACAAAGCATCAATATTGTAACTTTTCTTGTCGCCTAAAAAAGAAATCATGAAATCGGCTGCAAAATCAACCGTCTAAACCCGAATACCCCGTTGACGGCAAGTTCCAAAAAAGATATAAAGGCATACAAAAAAGAAAAAGGGAAACGCAGGTTATGCCTAGCAAGTATTATAAATTGTAAATTACAGGCATTTGTAACTTCTATTCGAATCTTCAAAAATAAAAAAATAACCCAATACTGATAGTATTCTATAGTAACTTTTGAGCAGAAAACAGAGAAACAATATATGCTCAATTGATTAACTTTTTCCTCTGCATAGATGTAACTTTTTACTTTATATTACACTTAGTAAATTTATCTGTGAACCAAACATTCATAAATCTGAAATTACATATAATTATATACTACAGAATTGTTTTAGTTACTTACATCTACTTCAGAAATGTCATTTTCCTCAGAGAGATTTGGAACGTTTATTTTGCCCTCAACCTTTTTATCAGATTCTCCATCAGATATCCACTTCAAAACAATGTTCCACTCATAAAAGAAAATTAGTTTACCTTTTCGATTATTTGCCACTGCCTCACCTTCACATTTATCTACTTCCGTTATTGTACAAGAAACTAAAAACAATACAAGTTTATTAACTATACTTTGCACTTGAAATACAATCAAA